TCTGAGCCAAGGAATTGCTTCGTTTTTTTGCTATTTTCTCTGTTAGCAGTTAAGCTGAGGGTGGGGGCAGAGGGGGATTCTGGCAGTGCCACTTCTGCTGTGGGTCAGCCTGTATGGAATCTTTTACATGGGAAGGGTGTTTAATTTTCTGGGGATGTGGATAGAGCAGAGCTACATCAGCCTGGCTTTTGGTGATTTTTACCACCCGGTTCCTCCACCTACTTTGCTTTCGAGACCAAGCTCAAGCAGCACAGACTCCTCTGCTCCTGGTCCTGTTCTTTGTGTTCCCAGTGCATGCCGTGCTCTTGCCCAGCTGTGCAGAGGTGCAGGGTAGCACAGCTCAGCCCATCCCAGCCTGCCTGGAGCCTCTGGATCCTCCTGCCCGCAGCAGCCACACGTTCCCAGCCTGGTGTCACCTGCAGAGCTCTCAGCCATCCCCTGCAGTATTCCTGTTCTGCTGGACATCCCAACGTGCTCCCAGCATAGCAGCTGGCACAGTTCCAGCCTCTCCTGTTTGTTCCCCATGCCCCAGCTGTTGGTGCCCCTCACTTGGGCTGTTGATCCCACCTCCTCTTTGGGGAGAAGCCCCAATTCCTAAGTTCGTGTTCTCAGGCATTTCCTGAATGTGTGACACATCCCCAACCCTGGTGTCATCCTGCCAGGCACTTCTCCACCCTGTGCCATGGCCAAGGTGGTGCCCAGGTGAGTACAGGGACATTTCTGGTGTGTTCTGTGTACCTGGCACAGACACCCAGTGTTGTGTGAACCAATTGCTCATCCAAAACCCCAAAATTTCACTGGGGACACCAGGCTTGGAGCCAGCTATTGACCTGCTGGCTCTGTTTCTCCCCTCACCATTCCCTGCAATGGGAAGGATAGAGGAGAGCACTCCCTGTGCTCCTGCTCCCTTTCCCACTCACCCCAAGGCCATGAGGTCTCTCCAGATCCTTTGGATTTCTTCCTGCCCTTCCATTCCTTGGATTTTATCCTCCAGCCCCGATGAACCATCCTCCTTGTTGTTGTTCCCACTGGCAGAGCCTGGCACCAGTTCTCCCTGGGCACTGGGGGCCCGGGGTGGTCACAGAGGAGACACCCCTGCTGTGCTAGGTGGGAATGTGGCACCGGTGCCTCCTGTCCCTTGGGGTCAGCCAGGTGGAGAGAGGGCAGGGTGGCCTGTACTCAGTGAGAGCTCTCCTTGGGAAAATCAAGGAAGACACTTCAGGAATCAGGAGAGTTGCAGAGCCCTGAGAGCACCCCGGAGTCAGGGAAGGTGTGGGATCAGTGGGGATGGGGCTGGGCTCCCCAGAGTGGCAGCTCCTCCAGCACAAGGATTTGGGGGTCCCAGCCTCTGTTGGCTGCAGGGTGGGAGCTGGGATGGGGCCAGGGCACCGTGGGCAGCCAGAGCCATTTCCTGGGGGTCTGAGGGGGCTGTTGGAGAGAGAAGGCAGGTTACTCCATGGGGCAGCAGAGGGGAGAGGAGCCAGGACCTGTGGGGCAATGGCTGGTGCTGTGAAAGTGAGCCAGGGCTAAGAGCACCCCAGAGTCCTGCTGCTTCCCCTCTCCCAAAGCTTTTCCAGAGGGGCTGAGGTTTCTCCCAGGAGCAATCCATCCTGCAGATAGGCTGCTGAGGTGACATCCAGGGATGGGTGACAGAGACCTTCTCCTGGGACCAGGCTGTTCCCACGTGGGCTGTTGCTCTCCCTGCTCCCAACACTGAGCGCTTGCCACACTGGGAGCAGATAAAAACCCTTTAAAAATGTTCTGAATAGTTGTGTTCCTGCAGATGAATGCTGTATTTTTAAGGAATAAACATTTTTTATGGGCAGATCTTGGCCCTGCTGCTTTCTTTGTCATTCCAACCCAAACCATTCCATGATTATGGGCCAGGAGCCTTGCTGTGGCCCCCAAAGGGCTCATGGGTTTGTAACTGGCAAGGAAGTGCCAGTTTTGGGTGTTGGTAGAGGTTTGGGAGGCTTTCCAAGGTCTGCAACCCTCTGGGAACAACCTGAGCTGTAGATCCACACCCCATGAGGTCCTCAGCAGAGCTCTGCAGGGACCCTGCGTGTGCCAGACCCTGCCAGACACTCTGTCACAGGGAAGATGCTGTGGTGGAGCACCAGGAAGGTCTGCACGGAGAGCTGAGGTGGGAATCATCCCCTGGCCCTCCCCAGCCAGCCCAGGCAGCACATTCCCAGTTCAGGTTTCATCTGGCAGCACAGCTGATGCTTCAGGGGTGTCCTGGTTGCCCATGGATGGGAGCAGGCAGAGCTGAGGATGGAGGGGATTGAGCAATGAGCAATCCCTGCCAAGGCTCCGTGTCCAGCGTGGGAAGTGCAGTTCCATCCAGCCCTGCCCTCTCTCCACACGCTGTTTCTGGCTCTCATTTCTTTGGCAGAAAATTCACATTCTCATCCCCTCTCTCCTCCCCTCGGCTGTGGCAGCTCCTTTCCATCATCACTTCCCCACTTCTCCTCCTGCCTGTGGGCTGGAAGGGTCCCTGGAGCCTTGCAGGAGATGCTGCTGTGAAAACCATTGTCCCAAAGGAAGAGCCGGGAGCTCCAGGAGCTGCTGGTGCTGCGTGAGAGGACACGGGCAAGGTAAAGGTGGGCCCCTTGCTCCAGCTGGGGAGAGAGAAACTGCAGCTGAAAGTGGGGAGCAGCCCCTGCTCCCTGGGAATGGAGGGGGCAGCTGCACTGAGCTTTCCCCATGAGATTTCCTGAAATAAGCACTAGTCTTGTTTTTGAATTTGTGAGATTCATGCTCTGGCATCCCCTCCAGAGGAGGATTTTAGTCGGGCTCTGGCTTTGCCCCTGCTGTGGGCTGGCCTTTCCTTCCTTGTGGGGAGCCTGGTGCCTGTGCAGGCTGAGTGAGCTCCTGGCCCATGGGATCCAGAAGGATCACCAATCCCTGTCCCCTGCAGGGACACCCACGCTGCTGCTGTGCCTCTGCCTTGGAGGTGCTGGTCTCCATCTCAGCTATTCCCAGGGACATAAATCCTCACCTGGGGTGAGAAGCAGGGCAGGTGTTTGGGGTTTAACTCCTGGAGGATGAGCTTTGGCAGTGCCAGTGGTGGTGGCACGTCACAGGGCTCCTCGAGTGGCGCCTGCGGTTGGGAAGATAAACAGCAGCTTGTCCGGCCTTCTCCTTCCTGCCTTCTCCTTCCTGCCTTCCCTCTGCTGCTCCCTCTCGTGACTGGGATTCCTCCTCCTCCTCCCCCCATGGCCACATCCCCCAGGACTCTGCTTGGGCTGGGGATGTGGCCGTGGGCTCTGCTGGAGTGTGGAGCTTCACCTGCACAAAGGTAATTCCCTGCACTGTGTATCTCCAGGGCTTTATCCACCCATCCCTCCATCCATCCACCCATCCATCCATGCATCCATCCATCCATGCATGCATCCACCCACAGCAGAGCTGCTCCCACCCTGCTGGGAGCTCCTGGTGCAGCAGAGGTTCAGGAGCTGTCCCTGGCATGTGGGGATGCTCTCATCTGTGATACCCAAGGAATTTCCTGCCCCAGGGGAGCAGGATGGAAGTTACAAAAATCCCTGCGCTGTGTCTCTTTAGTTTGACAGAGGGCAGGGATGGATGGGATACTGGGAAGGAATTCCTTCCTAGGGTGGTGAGACCCTGGCACAGGGTGCCCAGAGCAGCTGTGGCTGCCCCTGGATCCCTGGAGTGCCCAAGGCCAGGGTGAATATTGGGGCTTGGAGCAGCCTGGGATAGTGGAAGGCGTCCCTCCCATGGCAGGGGTGGAATGAGATGGTTTTTGAGGTGTCTTCCAACCCAAACTAGTGTGGGATTCTATGATGTAGTTGAATTCCCTTTTCAGAGTCTCCTTACAGGGAACTCTGAACAACTCCTTTATATTTGTTTTCTTCTTTAATTTATGTAACTTTCTAAATTCTAATTTCTAAGTTTCCAATTTCTAACCTTTAGAAACTGAAATTTCAAACCTGGCCAGAAGGAACCAGTCTGGGGGGCTGGAGGGGAGTGGCAGAGACTGACACAGGAGCCCTGTCCCGTTCCTCCCGTTCCTCAAGGGTCTCAGTGCATCCCTTGATACTTCCAGGCATTAATTTCTCATTCTTGCCTTAAGCCTCTTTGGGGAGGTTCTTTTCAGAGCCTGTACTCTGACCTCAGTCCTATCTTCTCCCTGGGGCTGCTGTTGCTCTCTGGACCGTGCTGGGTGGTGCCAGTGCTGGGGCACTGGTGGCACAGGTGGCACCGGATGGAGGCAGCCAGGTCAGTGTGGGGTGAGGAACCAGGTCCCCGTGTGGGCTCTCCCAGAGCCTGCACACAACAGGGAGGGCTCCCCAAAGCTCTGGGGGAGCAGGTGGGGTGTCCAGGGTGTGTCCATGGGCTGTAGTCCAGCCTGTGCCTGGGGTAAAGGGCTTCAGCACCTCTGATTGTGTGCAGTTGTTTGTGATTTAAAAGAGATAAATCATAGAACTGTGGAATTGCTTGGGTTGGGAGAGACCTTAAAGCTTATCTCCTTCCATGCAGGGACATTTTCCACCAGTGCAGGCTGCTCCAAGCCCCATCCAACCTGGCCATGGACACTCCCAGGGACAGAGGAGCCACACCTGTGCCAGGGCCTCCCCACCCTCACAGGGACAATTCCTCCCCAATATCAAATCTAAATCTCTTCTCCTGCTGCCTCCAAGGCCTTTGCTTGGAAGGTTGAAGCGAGATGATGTGGCTGGGGATCTGCAGCCCCACTGGCTCTTAGGAGAGGTGACAGAGGGACAAATGTCTCCTGCAGAGGCTCCCTGGGGTGCTCCCAGGTGTTTCTCTCCCCAAGCAGGTATCCCTGCCATGTGTTCCTTTCACACAGGTGTGTTTTCCAGAGGACCTTTGGCTCGCCCCCTGTGCCAGGCCCCAGCCCTGGGATGCAGCCCGTGGCCCTGCAGAGCCTGTCCGAGCTGGAGAGGGCCAGTCTGCAGGAGCTGGCGCTGTTCCGGCTGCAGGAGAGGCTGCCCGTGGGGCACCTCAGTCTGGACAGAGGTACAGGGGGACAGGAGGGGACAGGAGGGGACAGGAGGGGACAGGAGGGGACAGGAGGGGACAGGGGACCCCCTCCTGCCAAGGGGGGCTGAGGCTGAGCCGTTCATGCTGCTCACCCTGCACCACAGCCCGGGATGATGGTTATGGAATTTGTGACACATTTTGGTCCATTTGATTTCTCATTCCTCCTTTATTTCCTCTGAGCCCCGAAGGCCCAATCAGTCTGGAGGGGTTTGCGTGTCCGCAGCAGTGTGAGAACATGACCCTCCCAAACCCAAACCAGATGGGACAACTTGGCGAGGTCTCCACTGGGATTGTCTGAGTGCCCTTGGGGTGGGACGGGATTTGCTGTTTGGATCCATGGCCAGCACTAAGTCCTGATGCTGGAAAGGGGCTTTTGGGAGCGTGGATAATGCACTGGCACGTTAAAGGGTGGATAAATTTAGGAGCTCCACAGGAACTGAGCACAGAGGCCCTGTCAGGGTTCCCAGGACTGCCTGTGTCCCCCACCAGCAATCCCAGCGAGTTGTGGTTTTCAGACTCCTTCACTAATTCACTTCTTATCCACTTGATGTGCCTCCTGTGCCCTGGGCTGTTTTTGGCATCCCAGCAGGGCAGGGGATGCCACCAGCTCACCAGGGCTGGGGCTGGTGGTGCAGAGGGAGCCTGGGGGTCTCCAGCCCCCCTTCCATCCCACCACCTCAGGGCAGGATGGAGACCCCAGGTCCCTGGAATCCTCTCCCATGGATGGAGCATCTCCCAGTGCCCAGCCTCACACTGAGCACCAAGTGCGTGATGTGACACCCAAGTCTGGTTTCCCATCTTAATATCCCAAAGATTTCATGCCATGAGTCCAGCACAGCTCCCCTCTCCTTCCCAGAAGTCCCAGTTGCTCCAAGGCTCCAGCCCTGGAGGGCTTTGACCACAAACATCCTGATTCCTTTTCTATTTTGTTTTATTTTGAACTGTTGTGATCCAGCTTGCAGTGACACCCTGCAGCAGCAGCTCCTCTAGGGACCGGTGCAGTGCCAAAAAAAACCCCAAACCCCAATATTTCCTTCCTTGTTGGTCAGTGTGCTGCTGGATAATTTATGTTGGCTTCTGGGCTCACGTTCCTCATTCCAGCTGTCAGAGCTTTCCTCTAAGTCTTACAAAAGAACCCAAACAAGTAGATATAAGCTGTTCCTAGGAAGAGAATTCCTCAGGAATGAAGAGTATGAGCCAGAATAGGGTGATGTGTCCTGGAAGGATTTAGGGTGGGCAGTGAGTGAATTCTCAGTTCGCTGCTGCTGGATGTGTGAGGTGGGAGTCCTCCAGAGCAGGATGGGATTTGTGATGGTGTTTTGTACAACTTTTTATGTCTGTGCTCTGTAAAACATTCCCAAAAGCCTTTCTGGGCCTTGCTGCTCATGTAGAGCCACGGGGTCCCTCCACTCCTTCACCTGCAGCCCGTCTCCAGGATTGTTCTCCAGACAGTGATGTCCATCTCCAGGGCTGTTTGCCAGACAGTGATGTCCATCCCCAGGCAGTGATGTCCATCTCCAGAGCTGGTCCCTGGGCTGCCCACTGTGTCCCAGGGGTCTCCTGGATCCCCTCAGGGCTGTGGCTGTCACTGCAGTGTCCCCTGGCTGGAGGCTGCAGAGGGACAGGAGCCTATGCCGAGTCTTCCCCTTCTCTTCTCCTCCTAGATGGCTCCAAAGGCATTAAATCCATCCGGCAGAAGCTGGAGAGCTTCTCAAAGGAGAGGAAAGGTGAGCAGCATCACTTTTACCTGGGCTTTGGTCCCTGCTCTCAGGGGGAATGGGTGATTTTTGTTGGGGTGGGGTGGGAGGTGCCCAAATCCAGCAGGATGCTTCATCACAGGTTGTTCTGCTGTTCTGGGAATGGATGGAGCCTGGAAGGCACGGAAAGATGTGTGGAATATGTGCAATGTGAAATGCATTTTCAAGGTGAACACCTATAAATGTGTCTATCTGCACATTTTGCCCCAGTCTTGCTGCCCCCAGTTCTATCTTAGCTTTCCTTGAAGGACCTCAGTGACAGCCCTGGGGTACACAGAATCCTAGAGCAGAGCCAGGTGGGAATGAGGTTCTCCAGACCAGTACAAAGCCCATGCAAGGAAACTACTCACATTAATGCCTCACATTTTACTTAGAATATTTAGTAGAATGTTTAAACATATCAATCATTGTACAACACGCTGGTAGCAACTTAACAGCTGTTTGATCTGTGTTTATGGTTTCAGTCCTAAAAGCTCCCAGAGAGGGAGTGATAACATAGAAGCTTCATCCGCAGCTGGAAACTGCTTCTGAATGCATAATAGTAAATCCTTTAACTCAGATTTTGAAACGTTACAGCAATTAGATTTGACCAGATCTTTAAGGTGTTTATAAACATTTCTAGGCAAATTGGACATCTTGTGTCCTAACGTCTTCCCTGAGGCTTACCTGATGTTGAATAACAGGCAAGTCCTTGTTGGATCTTTGTCCTGATCGAGGCAGCAATGAGGGTAGAAATCCAACTTCTCTCTTCTTGCGAGAGTTAAGATCCTGGGATTTGCATTTCTCTCAACAACACTTTACAAAAATGACCTCGAGGCTTTCTGACAGGTCAGACAGTTTAACCAGATTATCTGTGTCCTCACACGGGCACCAATTTGTTGGACAATACTCTTCTTTTTCTTAAAACGCATCTGAGAGGTGTTTTAAAAACTTTTATTCGATTTTTAATCTCATGAGAAGAGTGAAACAATATAGATGTTGTAATGCACACCATCACAATCACAACTATTTCCTAATTACAATACACTATAAGCATTTCTTGGCCTATCAGCTTTTTGCTAAGCTATGCTGTAGATGCCTTAAAGCCAATCCTCTAAAAGCACCCCTCGTGGATCCTAATATAATGCATTTTTCATAGTTTTATTTCTCTAAAGTATATAGTCTTATTTGTAAGGTCATTTTTTGAGACTTTTTGTCTAGCTCAATTTTTCTCTCAACAATTTTTGTCTTATTCTATGATATTTCTTAGCCAGCATTTCTTCTCTCAAAGTTTGCATATGGATGTATACTGTGTAGGCCTTCTGTTAGGCCCTGAGAACTCTCTACAAATCCATTTCTCACAGTTAGAATTTGGAAAGGATCTTTTTGTGATTTATGAACTTGTTGCTTCATAGATGCCAATGGCATCTTTATGGGGCTATAGCCAGTTTAAGGAAGGAAACTCCAGGAAATGCTGGGACAGGCTCCAGCAAGCCCATTGATGGGGAGCAAGCCCTTGTGTCTCCTCCCTGTCCCCCCAGCACCCCGTTTCCCATGCTGTGCCCTCCCCCTTGGCACTTTGGCACCAGGGTCCCACCACACCTTTCCTGCTCTCCAGGAGGAGCAGCTCCTTGGGAACGCACCACGCTCTCCAGGTGCTCCTGGGGGCAGGAAACGTGGGGTTCATCCGTGCATCTCCCTCACTGCCGTGCCTGTCCCTTCCTCCCGTGTCTCCCCCAGACTGTTCTCCCCACACCTTCGGGGTCCCGCTCCCCCAGGTCATCGCCAACGACCGCGCCTGCCGCCAGCTGCAGGAGGCCGTGGGCAGGAGCCGGCGGCTGTGCCTGGAGGTGGAGGCCACGGTGACCAGGTTCCGGGCTCAGAGGCAGAGGAGGTTGGGAATGGGCACCAGCTGTATCCGGGCTCCCGACGGGGGCTTCCCAGAGGAGCCGCTTTCCCCATCTCTTCTGGACAAGAGCTCCTGGAGCCAGCGGAGGGTATGGTCCCCAAAATGGGCTGGGCTGGTGCTGTGGGATGGGGGCGTCTGAATTGGGCAATAAATGGGATTTTCCAGGAGCTTTTCTGACTGACTGAGTTGGTTGTGTCCCAGGCTGGGCCTGTCCCAGTCTGTCCTCAGGGAAATGGTGATGTCCCCAGTCCCCTCAGAGATGAACTGGGAGGACCTTCACTAGTGCAGCTCTTATGGAGCTGAGGTTACCAGGGGGACATTTAAGGGTCCAGAGCACAGGGATGGATGGGATATTGGGAATTAGGAATTCCTCCCCATGAGGATGGGGAGCTCCTGGCTCAGGGTGCCCAGAGAAGCTGTGGCTGCCCCTGGGTCCCTGGAAGTGTCCAAATCCAGGGTGGATACTGGGGCTTGGAGCAACCTGGGATAGTGGAAGGTGTCCCTGCCCATGGCAGGGGTGGCACTGGATGCTGCTCTTTCCCAGAAACCCATGAGGTCACGGCAGCGATGGATCTGTGGGGTCATTCCTGCACCTACAAACACCCTCTGCTCCATCACAGGGGGCCATGTCCGTGGATTCCATCACGGATCTGAGTGACAACGCGTCCGAGCTGCTGGAGGCCCTGCAGCTCTCCCACCCCCACGAGCTGGGCCCTCGCAGGAGCCGGGGCAAGAAGAGGCCCCTGAGCCTGAACCCCATCACCTGGCAGGTGCCACGGATTGTGGACAGGTGCTGCACACACCTTGAGACACACGGTAAGGGCTGGAAAAGCTGCCTGTGTGTGGCCACCAGCACATCCTGGCCTGGCCACCCCCAAGGTGGGAGGAGGTGCCGGGTTTAATGGGCACTGTGGGATTCACCCAAAGGTTGGACTCGATGGTCTTGGAAGTCATTCCCAACCTGAATGCTTCTGCGAGTCCTGGGGCAGGGCATCTTCCAAAAAGCCTCCTCAGGGTTGGATGCAGCACCAGAGGGAAATGTCACTGAGGAGGGAATGTCACTGTGTGTCAGTGACCATCTCCTGATGCCTCAACCTCTGCGGCACATCCAGCCCTCGCTCACAGTGACTGTAGGGATGAGATCTCCTCCCTTCACACGGACAACCCAAGGAAATCTCATGGCTCCACAGCCTTTCCTTTTCCTCACTGCCTGGAGAAGGGGAAGCCATGCAGGAGAAGCCCTACCATGGTGCTGAGGTGCTCCCAGGAGCAGCCAGGGTGGCAGGGAGCCGTGGGAATGCACTGCACTAACCTCTCTGTCCCCCAGGGCTCCAAACTGTTGGCATCTTCCGTGTCGGGAGCTCCAAGAAAAGAGTCCAGCAGGTAAAGGGGGACATTGACTGCATCCTCTGGCTGTGCCTTGTCAGGGATAGAGGCTCGTGTGGATGGGATGGATAGAGCTGACACTGGTGTGGAGAGGTCTGAAACAGACTAAAACTGACTGATTTTCATCCTTCCCATTTCTTCCATCTCCAAGCTGAGGGAGGAGTTTGACCGAGGGCTGGATGTTTTCTTGGATGAACATCAAAGTGTTCATGATGTGGCTGCCCTGCTCAAAGAATTTCTCCGGGATATGCCCGATTCCCTGATTCCCAGAGAGCTCTATGGAGCCTTCCTCAGCACAGCCAGTGAGTACCTTTGGAGCAGAGCCTGCAGAGCCACAGGAGGGTTTGTGTCGGGGGCACCTCTCACTTGGTCAAGTTGCTCCAAGTCCTGTCCAGCCTGACTTTGGACACTGCCAGGAATGGATCCTTCCTCACCACCCTTCTTTTCCAAAGCCTCTGCACAGCGATGGGATGGGTGTTGTACTCCCTGGCACTGCCACAGTGGGTTTGGTGGGGGTTTTGTTTGATTTCTTTTGAATTGGACTATAAAAATCCCTCTGGTCCAGGACAGTCTGTGGGCCTGCGCAGTATCCAACGTCACCACAGCCCTTGCTGGGTTCTCCATCCCATGGGATGAAGGGTGGGACAGCGGCCTGGCTCCCACCAGAGCTCATTCCCAAGCATGCAGGGGAGGGCTGGAAGTGCCTGGTGGGCTGGGACCCTCACTAACAGCTGCTCCCCCAGCCCTGGAGGGGCCAGCCCAGCTGGACACCCTGCAGCTGCTGCTGTTCCTGCTGCCCCCGTGCCACAGCGACACCCTGCTCCGGCTCCTGCGCTTCCTGGCACGGGTGGCCCGGCACGCCGAGAGCTCCTGGGACCCCGAGGGCCACGAGGTAAGGCTGCTCCAGAGGGGGAAAGGGGCTCGGGCTGCTGTGGCTGGCACTGAGCACAGCTGCTGCAAGCCTGGGTGAAGGCTTTGGGAAAAAAACAAATCCTTCACGGAATCCCAGGATCATTGTGGTTGGAAAAGGTGGGAAGGTGAGACTGATAGCAAAAGGGTTTTAACATCGTTAAAAGGAAAATTAAGCTTAGTAGGCCACGAAAAGAAAATAAATACCCTAAGTACAGCAAGACTGCGTACCTTGCTAGAACTGCACCTGTGTAGCTAGTACACGATAAATGATATAATTGTTAGATGTGATGATTGTTTCGTAATTAAATATAATTACTGTTTAATCATAAGAATAATCATGAGAAACTGTGGTCAGGGGCCTAAAAAAATGACGAGAAACTCATGCCAATGTATACAAGAGAACAATATGAGTTTAATAATTCATATGTAAGTTATATAATGGTAGAATATAAAATACGTTCAGTCCAAAAGCCGTGTCAGAGTCAGATTTGGGTCTGTACCCCTCATTCCCAGAGCTCTCAATAAAAGCACCTGCACATAATCATATCCTGTGATTATGTGTGTTCCTGAACGCTGACAAGACAGGTGGGAATGGGAGGAGTGTGTGCTCCAGCACCTCAAGCCCTTTGTGCTGGCCCTGCCACCAGCTCAGAGAGGACCAAACTGCACCCAGACCAACATCTCGCCCTCACCTCACCTCCTGTCCCTGCCCTGGGGTGGGTGAGGATATCCTGGGACATCCCATGCCACTGCATCCACAGTCCACAGGTTCCTTTTGTGCTTCCTTGTAGATCCCTGGGAATAAAATGACAGTGTCAAACCTGGCTACAGTCTTTGGTCCCAACATCCTGCAGAAGGAGAAGCCTGGAGAGAAAGATGCCAGTGCCCTGAACTTTGAGGACAGCGCTGCCATAATCCTGGTGCTCCAGAGGCTGATTGAGCACCACCACTCCCTGTTCATGGTACGTGGGGCTCCTCAGGCCAGTCCCTCCTTCCCTCTGAACTCTTCCAAGAGCAGCAGAGGAACGATTTTGTCCCTGTCAGAGATGCACACCTCGGTCTGTGCCTGTCCTCTGGGAAGGCTCTGGCTCCTTCCTCTCTCCACCCTCCCATAGTGCACTTGCAGGCAGCAGTAAAAGTCCCCTCAGGCCTATTGGAATGTGGCATTTCAGATCCCCAAAAAGCCTTATAGCAATTTTTGGGGTCTGCAGGGAGCCAAAGGACTGGGGATAGTGTGGGGAAAGCAGGGGCTGAGATCCTGCAGAGCCTGGGAGGTGTGTGGGCTGTGACACCAACATGCTGGGTCTGTGACCACATCCTGGGGTCCTTCCTTGGCTGCCTCTGCTCAGCCTCCTGCCGAGAGGGACCCCGTGAGTGGTGTGGCCGTGTCTCCCCAGGTGTCTCCAGAGATGCAGTGTGACATCCTGAGGAGGCTGTTCCAGACAGACCCCGATGTCATCGAGTACCTGCTGCGCAGGAAGTTCCCAAGGGGCTCCTCAGGGCACAGGGACAGGTGACAGCACACCCTGCTCATCTTCCTCCAGACTGCTCCTTCCTACAGCCTCTGGTCACGAGCTCCCCAGCAAAAGCCCTTCACACTCCGTCCTTCCCATCCCCGGAGCTCCCTGCTGTCCCTGTTTGCTCCTCAGCCTGTGCCAGCTCTCTCCAGAGCTTTGGTATCCACAGGGCTCCTGTCCAGCCCTTCCCCTGCTCCTGCCTCTCAGTGTCACACGCTGATTCCTGCTCCACCACCAGCCCTCTCCAAACCTCCTCCATCCTTGGTGTCCACATTTCCCTGCAGTCTTTGCCTGCCCCGTGTGTCTGTATGGGGCTGTCCATACATCCACATTTTGGGTGCAAGATGGGACAGTCCCACTGAGGCTCAGAACTGGAGCTCATTCCCTTCCCTAAGGTTAAAGGTGGTGGGGCTGAAAGGACCTCGTGTCCCATGAGCTGGGTCCACCATGGCACATATTGCAGGAGGGGGTTTGCTCCCTGGGGTTGGAGGTAGGGCATGGTTGAAAACAGGGGATCCTCAAGAGCCTTCAGGAGACCTGGTGACTCTTCGGTAAACATGAACTGTCCTGTGGGAAGGGTTTTCCTGGACCACAGGCCACTTCCATACCAGTTTGGATGGGGCTTGGAGCAACCTAGTCCAATGGAAGGTATCCCTGCCCATGGACTAGATGCTCTTCAAAGTTCCTTCCAACCCAAACCTAGGATTCTGTGATCCATACTACAGCTTCTTGTTTGTCTTCACATTCCTTTTGGTACTGTCTGGGGGTGGCAATCTTTGGGATCACTGCTTGAGCCCATTTGGGGAGTGCAGTGAGCAGAAGAAGCATTTGCAAACAGCATCTCTCTCTTTTTTGCTTCCTTAGGAGCCCAGAGCGTGAGGGTCGCGGGGAGGACCTCGCTCCGTCCGCACGGCCCGGCTGGACACACAGCCTGGAGCGAGGCTCGGTCTCCTCGGAGCTGTACAGCAACGTCTCCTTCCTCAACCTGCATGTTGGCATCTAGCAAGCCCTGGCCAGGCTCTCTGGACAAAACCAGGCAGCTTTTCCCAGCAAAACCCAGCCCCTGTGCCCTGGGGGCAGAGCTGTACTCGGGGGTCACCGGCCAGGCTGGCACCTCCCTGCAGGTCCAAGCACTGCCAGTCCTCAGCACGACCCTTCCCTGCCACCTCCTTCTCACAGCACCTCAGGGAATGGATTTAATCATCCCTAAACCTGCGGGCACTCCTGGGAGGACAGGCTGAGGAAGCTGGGACTGCTCAGCTTGGAGAAGAGACGGCTCAGAGGGAGCTTATCCATCTATCCAAATGCTTTTGTAAGGGCCTGGAGGGACAGGACAGGGGGAATGGCTTCCCACTGCTAAAGGGCACAGCTAGATGGGATATTCAGAGAAATTCTTCCCCGTGAGGGTGGTGAGGCCTGGCACAGGCAGGGACACCTTCCACTGCAGCAGGCTGCTCCAAGCCCATCCAGCCTGGCCTTCTGGCCTTGAATGTTTCCAGGGATGGGGCAGCCACAGCAGAGCACTTCTGGGGATAAAATGGTACTTCTGCAAACAGTATTCCATAGTCCACCACCTGCACCCAGTCCTGGCCTGAAGGCACCCAGACCTTCTCAGGTGCCCTGCTCAGGGATGAGCTCTTATTTTGCAAAGGTCCCTTCCCTGCAGATCAGAGCAGTTGGGATGGGTGGGGAAGCATTTCCCGGGGGAGCCTGTGCTGTGAGATAGC